AAATACCCATTATTCTAACAGTTGATTCTCTGCAATTACAGATCGTTGTCTTATTTATCAAGGAAAGAAAAAACACCCCCTATTCTAACAGTTGATTCTCTGCAATTACAGATCGTCATCTTATTTATTAAGGAAATAAAAAATACCCATTATTCTAACAGTTGATTCTCTGCAATTACAGATCGTTGTCTTATTTATCAAGGAAATAAAAAATACCCACCTATTCTAACAGTTGATTCTCTACAATTACAGATCGTCGTCTTATTTATCAAGGAAAGAAAAAATATCCCCTATTCTAACAGTTGATTCTCTGCAATTACAGATCGTTGTCTTATTTATCAAGGAAATAAAAAATACTCCCCTATTCTAACAGTTGATTCTCTGCAATTACAGATCGTTGTCTTATTTATCAAGGAAAAAAAAATACTCCCCTATTCTAACAGTTGATTCTCATTACTGTAGATCTCTCTTGTCCGTTTCTTCAGAAGTTGGACATTGAAAGGACTACTTATGGTCCAAGCTCAACCTTCCGCATTAGTTGGGGTTTTAAAAAAAAGATTTTTTTCAGAAGTTGGACATTGAAATGACTGCTTATGGTTCAACTCCTGCTTTAGTTCAGGTTTTAGAAAAGGTTTTCTTCACAGCTTTTACTTGAAACATGAAACAATATTACAAGAGGAGAATATCTTATTGAAGTTGAGTAAGAAGACCCTAAACAGACTGATAATACGAGGCAGGAAGCTCTACTAGGAATAGAAATGACAGATCAATAACAGTGAGATTGAAAACAAAATAGTGTGTGTTAATAGTTTGAATGAGTTACTACAGGTTGAACACAATAACAAATGTAGAATATTTCAACAAGACTTTGTCGTCATCAAACCTGAAATTAAGGAAGTTTCTTTGCTGGAACATCAACTGAAAGTATTTCCGAGGCCACACGTGAAAAACTTAACTGTTTAACCGTTAGTTATTTAACTGTTAAATGTTCAAGAGTATGGTTGGCTGCGCTACCTGATGGAACGAACCAATAACAAAAAAGGGGAGTTATTGATTATATAGACACGCACAATCGTCCGCTGTGTCTAATACGCGTGGCAACTTTATTCGTAGCGTCACGTGCGTACATGAGTAGAGTACCTGGTGAATGTTATTAATATCGAACTGGATCCGCCAGAACAGGTAGATTTTGTAGGTCCAGGATAATACACAGACACTGTGAAAAACAAACTTATAAGTATATCATTACACACTGTTCCACTATGGATTCAACACAGTTCGGTGAACAACGAGGAAGGAAACTCTCGCCCCGACAAGAAATTCAGACGTGAACATTACAAGGTAATTATATCCTATTCTTTGACACTTTTCGAAGTAACCATATCCTATTCTTTGACACTTTTCTAAGTAACTATATCCCATTCTTTGACACTTCTCTAAGTAACTATATCCTATTCTTTGACACTTCTCTATGTAACTATATCCTATTCTTTGACACTTCTCTATGTAACTATATCCTATTCTTTGACACTTCTCTATGTAACTATATCCTATTCTTTGACACTTCTCTAAGTAACTATATCCTATTCTTTGACACTTTTCTAAGTAACTATATCCTATTCTTTCACACTTCTCTATGTAACTATATCCTATTCTTTGGAACTTCTCTAAGTAACTATATCCTATTCTTTGACACTTCTCTAAGTAACTATATCCCATTCTTTGACACTTCTCTAAGTAACTATATCCTATTCTTTGACATTTCTCTAAGTAACTATATTCTATTCTTTGACATTTCTCTAAGTAACTATATCCTATTCTTTCACACTTCTCTATGTAGTTATATCCCATTCTTCCCACTTTTCGAGGTCACTATATCCCATTCTATCACACTTCTCTATATAGCTATATCCCGTTCTTTCACACTTCTGTAGATAATTACATCCCGTTCTTTCACATTTTTCAAAGTAACTATATCTTATTCTTTCACACTTTTCAAAGTAATTATATCTCATTCTTTCGCATTTTGCGAGTTACTTATATCCCATTTTTTCACACGTGTTCTTTTTCAAGGTAACTATATCCCATTTGTTTGACACTTTTCTAGATAACTATATCCCATTCTTTCACACTTTTCTAGATAACTATATCCCATTCTTTCACACTTTTCTAAGTGACTATATACCATTCTTTCACACTTTTAGGTAACTATATACTATTGTTTCACATTTTTCGTCATGATTAAGTCCCATTCTTTCACTCTTTTTGACTTAACTATATCACATTCCTTCACACGAGTACTGTTCGAGATAATTATATTCCATTCTTTTACATATGTACTTTTTGAGGTAACTGTATACCATTCTATCATAGTTTTCGAAATAACTATATCCCATTCTTTCACACCTATACTTTTCACGGTAAATAAGTACTATTCTTTCACACTTTTCGAAGTAACTATATCCCATTCTTTCACACCTATACTTTTCACGGTAAATAAGTACTATTCTTTCACACTTTTCGAAGTAACTATATCCCATTCTTTCACACCTATACTTTTCACGGTAAATAAGTACTATTCTTTCACACTTTTCGAAGTAACTATATCCCATTATTTCACACCTATACTTTTCACGGTAAATAAGTACTATTCTTTCACACTTTTCGAAGTAACTATATCCCATTCTTTCACACCTATACTTTTCACGGTAAATAAGTACTATTCTTTCACACTTTTCGAAGTAACTATATTCTTTCACACTTTTCGAAGTAACTATATTCTGTTCTTTATCTAAAGATAACTTTAAAAACTAAATATATTTCTTGTTTCATACGAGGGTGATATTAAATTTGAAAGCTTTTTTTTTTCATCTATGATGAGAACAATTCAAATACAAGTCCATGATGTAAATGTTGTTATTTATTCTAAATAAGGATATTAATTCTAGATGTGAACCTTTTCTTTTAACTAAGGATACTAGTCCTGGGTATATATCGTTATATTTCTTCTAAGGATACTAGTCCTGGGTATATATCGTTATATTTCTTCTAAGGTTACTAGTCCTGAGTATATATCGTTTTATTTCTTCTAAGGATACTAGTCCTGGGTATATATCGTTTTATTTCTTCTAAGGATATTAGTCCTGAGTATATATCGTTTTATTTCTTCTAAGGATACTAGTCCTGGGTATATATCGTTATATTTCTTCTAAGGATACTAGTCCTGAGTATATATCGTTTTATGTCTTCTAAGGATACTAGTCCTGGGTATATATCGTTTTATTTCTTCTAAGGATACTAGTCCTGGGTATTTATCGTTTTATGTCTTCTAAGGATACTAGTCATGGGTATATATCGTTTTATGTCTTCTAAGGATACTAGTCCCCATATTGTACAAACAATCATACTTTATAGAAAACACATTATAAACTTAAGCTACATGTTGTACAATCAACACTCTTGATCACACCTCGTAAGTAGTTAGTTAGTGGTGTGAAACAGAAAGTTAGGTTTTTCTCTCACCAACGTAACATCGGGAATAGTTAACTCAACATTCTGTTTTCAACCAACAACCTGTAAGAAAGCCCCCAGTGGCACAGCGGTATGTCTGCGGACTTACAACGCTAGAAACCGGGTTTCGATACCCGTGGTGGGCAGAGCACAGATAGCCCTTGTGTAGCTTTGTGCATAATTAAAACAAACAAACAAACTTTCTTACAGCAATGTAACAAATAGAGTAGTTAGTTGTTGGTTGAAAACAGAATGTTGAGTCTTTCTTACAGCAATGTAACAAATAGAGTAGTTAGTTGTTGGTTGAAAACAGAATGTTGAGTCTTTCTTACAGCAATGTAACAAATAGAGTAGTTAGTTGTTGGTTGAAAACAGAATGTTGAGTCTTTCTTACAGCAATGTAACAAACAGAGTAGTTAGTTGTTGGTTGAAAATAGAATGTTGAGTCTTTCTTACAGCAAAGTAACAAACAGAGTAGTTAGTTGTTGGTTGAAAATAGAATGTTGAGTCTTTCTTACAGCAAGGTAACAAATAGAGTAGTTAGTTGTTGGTTGAAACAGAATGTTGAGTCTTTATTAGAGCAATGTAACAAATAGAGTAGTTAGTTGTTGGTTGAAACAGAATGTTGAGTCTTTCTTACAGCAATGTAACAAACAGAGTAGTTAGTTGTTGGTTGAAAACAGAATGTTGAGTCTTTCTTACAGCAAGGTAACAAACAGAGTGGTTAGTTGTTGGTTGAAAATAGAATGTTGAGTCTTTATTACAGCAATGTAACAAATAGAGTAGTTAGTTGAAAACATAATGTTGAGTCTTACTTACAGCAATGTAACAAATACAATAGTTAGTTGTTGGTTGAAAACAGAATGTTGAGTCTTACTTACAGCAATGTAACAAACAGAGTAGTTAGTTGTTGGTTGAAAATAGAATGTTGAGTCTTACTTACAGCAATGTAACAAACAGAGTAGTTAGTTGTTGGTTGAAAATAGAATGTTGAGTCTTTCTTACAGCAAGGTAACAAATACAGTAGTTAGTTGTTGGTTGAAAACAGAATGTTGTGTTTTTCTTACAGCAAGGTAACAAATACAATAGTTAGTTGTTGGTTAGAAACAGGATGTTGAGTCTTACTTACAGCAAAGTAACAAATACAATAGTTAGTTGTTGGTTGAAACAGAATGTTGAGTCTTTATTATAGCAACACAACAACTACAATAGTTAGTTGTTTAAAACAGAATGTGGAGTCTTCTCTACAGCAATACAACGACACGTGTAATTTATTCACTAATATAACAACAGTTATTAACACCACTGCTGGTACAGAAACATTATAACAACATTAATAAACACAGTTAACGCTATTACTAAACAATATTATTAAACACAATATAACACTATTACTAAACACATTATAACAACATTAATAAACACAGTTAACGCTATTACTAAACAATATTATTAAACACAATATAACACTATTACTAAACACATTATAACACCATTAATAAACTCACTATAACGTCATTACTAAACACACTATAATACCATTAATAAACACTATAACACCATTACTAAACTAAATATAATACTACTACTAAACATTTTAACACCATAAATAAACATAGTATAACACCATTACTAAAAATTATAATAATACTACTAAACACACTATAACACCATAAGTATACACAAAATAACACTATTACTAAACACGGTATAACACCATTACTGAGCACACTATAATACCATTACTAAACACAATATAACACTATTACTATTAGTAAACCCAGTATATTAGTCCTATCAGTGATGCAAGTGACACTGTATCAAGAACTGATTATACAAAAATACACACAGGTAGTATCTGATCCCAAAAAATTAATCTCACTACGGGGTCATGTTCGTAAATCAGCATCTATTTACTCTTGGTAGAAGCTAAGCCTACCTGGTGCTTTCAGCTTTCCTTCGGTATTTTAAATCAACGTGTATTTACTCTTGGTAGAACCTAAGCTTATCTAGTGCTTTTAGCTTTATTTCGTTGTCTTAAATCAACAAGTATTTAGTATTGGTAGAAAATAAGCCTATATAGTGGTTTCAGCTTTCTTTCGGTGTCGTAAATCAGCATGTATTTACTATTGGTAGAAACTAAGTCTACCTAGTGTTTTCTTCGGTGTATTAATTATCAAACTATAAGTGCGTGCGTCACCTAAGTAGTATTTTTCACAAGCAACCAACTGGATCTATTGAAGATCTTAGTTCCATGTCTGACGAGGGGTGGGGAACAGAAGTTTTACAATGGTTAGTGCGTCACATATTAAAGAACCCGCAAAAACTTTTTTTAATAGGAAAACCGGTTATATCACAATAGTACCCACTTCAAAAAGCATCCGATTTCCTGGAGCTTGTACAAGGGCTACTGTGTATTCAACACCCTCTGAACTATAGCATTTAAACCAAAGCCTTTCACCACGGTTGTTAAGTACTGCATTATGTCGTATCCCTCGTTTACGCACTGCTGCCCCATTCCTGAAACTTAACAGTTCTCCTGTCCCTCCTACAGGTTAGCGAGTGTACGTGCATTGTACCCTATCAATAGAAGTGCATCTTCTGAGATTATAAGCCCACAGGAACGATGAAGTCTCCTACAAGTGCTTGGATGAGGTCACCGACAGTAAGCGTACTTCTGTATGTGGTAGTAATGATGTCACAGACCATAAGCCTACTTCTGAATGTGGTAGTAATGACGTCACGGACCATAAGCCTACATTTGCCTGTGGTAGTTATGACGTTATTCGTCGAAGGTAAGTTTAAAAACTTCCCTAACTTTTTCATGATGACGTCTGATGATGAACTGTTTCAAAAATATCATGCTAAATCTAAACGATTATTTTATGTTTATTATCAAACAACAACAACAACAAAAAAAAACATGCCAACATATCATACCAAACAACCTTGTGTTGCTAATCCCAAAACCCGTATTAATGTGATAAAGAATATTTGGTGTCGCTGATCACATGCAAATTTCTCATAACAAACATACTGTGCTGCTGATAAAAAAAAAAACTGAAGTGAACCAGATAAAGTACAATTTGAAGAAATACTCCAAAGAGAGTATTGTGGAGAAACACTGTTAATTACTGTCTAGTGGTGTAACCATGTAGAAATATAGACAAGACACTGTGTGTGTTGTCTAGTTTTGTAGTTAATCACCAATACTGACAACACAGTTGTGACGTCGTTACACTGTAGAAATATTTAACTGAGATTATAAACAACCATTTATGACGTCATTACACTGTAGAAATATTTAACTGAGATTATAAACAACCATTTATGACGTCGTTACATTGTAGAAATATTTTAACTGAGATTATAAACAACCATTTATGACGTCGTTACATTGTAGAAATATTTTAACTGAGATTATAAACAATCATTTATGACGTCGTTACACTGTAGAAATATTTTAACTGAGATTATAAACAATCATTTATGACGTCGTTACACTGTAGAAATATTTTAACTGAGATTATAAACAACCATTTATGACTGAGAAATCGTTAACCACTGTAGGAAAGAGCTGTTCCTGGGGCAACTATAGTATCTGAAGTGACTTGATATCTGCTCCATGGGTCTGAAGCCCGATAAACGTGGAGTTCTCTTTTTCTTTAACACCCTCCTCTTCAAGGAGTTAAACACAATGGGAACATACGTTATGCTCTAGCCAGGGCCTAGTGTAACGACAAATAGCAACTCAAGGATTGTTAGCTGTAATGTGCGTGACATAATGTTACCATGGTTACAGATCAATACTCCGTCAGCCGGTACCACGACATTCTAATACTATAATAAATAATTATGTTCACAAAACAGAACATTTCCTTGTACAGTGAACTAATAAACTGTCGCACTAAAGTTGATTATAAATGTAATTGAATAATTTGTTGGGGAAAATAGGCTATCATTATACAGGAAATACGTACACTATTATTTGTGTTTACACACGTACAGATTTTATTAAGTACTTTTCGTGTTCAAGATTTTTTGACATGATAATGGTTGCTTTTATAATATTCCGATAATATAACTTCTAAACATGCAAAATACCTTAAAATGAAATAATTAATTGCTGCATCCCTTTGTCGGCAGTAAAATGTACGGGCAGTCATTTACTACAGCAGTAAAATGTACCGGCAGTCAATTACTACAGCAGTAAAATGTACGGGCAGTCATTTACTACAGCAGTAAAATGTACCGGCAGTCATTTACTACAGCAGGAAAATGTCGCTGCAGTCATTTACTACAGCAGTAAAATATACGGGCAGTCATTTACTACAGCAGGAAAATGTACCGGCAGTCATTTACTACAGCAGGAAAATGTCGCTGCAGTGGATGAAATGATGGCAGTATAATGTTGTAGAACTCCATCAACTTCCACATAGATGAAATAAGGGTGAATTATTTCCACATAAGTATACGCCTGTTGTCAGCTACAGGTGACTCCACTGTCCAGGAGCCACTAGTAGTGGTCTTGACAACATTGCAAACAAGTTATTTTATACTTTCGTGTAAGCGAAGTACTCCTCAATGGACATCTGTAGTACGAGAGAAGTCTGTTTCTAACCAATGACAGGGCGTTCAATTGCGGCTGCGAAGACCAAATTTAGCCTTAGAATAGGTGCTCTACGACTGACAAACCAGATAAAGTGATGGCAGTCGTCTTCGATGATGTTTTGAACAGAGCAGCTACACTATTGGTTTGGATTACTTCACGTTTTTCTAACCCGCTTTGAGACGTTTCAGGCCTACTGTGGTTGATGACTTTCTACATAGCTAAAACATAATGAATGTCGCCTTGTAAGTCTAGCCATGGTTCATTAACAGCAGTTAGATGATGACTTTCCACATAATAAATGTTGCCTTTTAAGTCTGTTCATGGTTCATGAACAGGAGTTAGATGTTGACTTTCCACATAATAAATGTTGCCTATTAAGTCTGTTCATGAACAGGAGTTAGATGTTGACTTTCCACATAATAAATGTTGCCTTTTAAGTCTGTTCATGGTTCATGAACAGCAATTAGCCAATGACTTTCCACATAAATAAAGCATAATGAATGTCGCCTTGTAAGTCTAATCATGGTTCATGAACAGCAGTTAGCTGATGACTTTCCTCATAATAAGTGCTGCCTTGTAAGTCTAGTCATGGTTCATGAACAACAGGTTAGCTGATGACTTTCCACATAATAAATGTTGCCTTGTAAGTCTAGTCATTGTTCATGAACAACAGTTAGCTGATGACTTTCCACATAATCAATGTTGCCCTGTAAGTCTAGTCATGGTTCATGAACAACAGTTAGCTGATGACTTTCCACATAATCAATGTTGCCATGTAAGTCTAGTCATGGTTCATGAACAACAGTTAGCTGATGACTTTCCACATAATAAATGTTGCCTTGTAAGTCTAATCATGGTTCATGAACAACAGTTAGCTGATGACTTTCCACAACATAAATGTTGCCTTGTAAGTCTAATCATGGTTCATGAACAACGGTTAGCTGATGACTTTCCACATAATAAATGTTGCCTTGTAAGTCTAGTCATTGTTCATGAACAACAGTTAGCTGATGACTTTCCACATAATAAATGTTGCCTAGTCATGGTTCATGAACAACAGTTAGCTGATGATTTTCCACATAAATGAAACAAAGTGAGATGAATAAGTATAACATAAACTGACTGACATTTCATCAGTATTTCTGATTACATTGTTGTCTTAAATATATTATTAGAAGATTCTATTTTATTTTATTGTTAATAAAACTTTTTCATATTTCAATTAACCTTAACTATCTGTGTTTAGGACCTTCGTATACTAATAATCATTTTTTTGTGTTTGATAAATTTTTTTTCCCATAGCTAGATTAATGTGTATAATGTCCTATCCATTAAAAAGAACGTATTAGTTCAGACAGTGTCCTTCCCTCAGTGGATGTGAGCCAGCCTAGTTTCTACGGTAACATGTAACAGTAATTACAGTCGATTGAACAAAGGCCGCTTGATATAGGGTGTAATGAATACGTTTGTTGCCGCTTGTAAGGTGTGGTGTATAATAGAGACTTGCAGGTAATTATAGATTTCCAACATAGGCTGTTCAGCCTGCAGGGATGTCTATCAGATGATTGATATCCCTCTTTTATTCCAACCTACAACTCCGACTTGAATAACACATTAGTATACTACTTTCTATATAGCTTGATTCAAGGGTAAGATGCTACGGTATTACTTTACGTAGAGTTAAAAGTTTGTCAGCATTTCATGAAAACACTTTATTTGGACAAAATGCATATTTTATTGACGAAAGAAAAGACTAAATAACCATACTAATACTGAGGTGAATAAGTTTAACAAGTTCGTATCACCTAAAATTTAAATTGATAGGCTTAACATACCTACCTGTACTTACCAACGTTATATCACCCAAAACTATGGTGGATAGACTTACATACCTACCTGTACTTATACTTACCAACGTTATATCACCCTAAACTGTAGTAAATAGACTTACATACATACCTGTACTTATACTTACCAACGTTATATCACCCTAAACTGTAGTAAATAGACTTACATACCTACCTGTACTTATACTTACCAACGTTATATCATCCAAAACTATGGTGGATAGACTTACATACATACCTGTACTTATACTTACCAACGTTGTATCATCCAAAACTGTAGTAAATAGACTTACATACATACCTGTACTTATACTTACCAACGTTATATCACCCTAAACTGTAGTAAATAGACTTACATACCTACCTGTACTTATACTTACCAACGTTATATCATCCAAAACTGTAGTAAATAGACTTACATACCTACCTGTACTTATACTTACCAACGTTATATCATCCAAAACTATGGTGGATAGACTTACATACATACCTGTGCTTATACTTACCAACGTTGTATCACCCTAAACTGTAGTAAATAGACTTACATGCCTACCTGTACATATACTTATCAACTTTGTATCACCTAAAATTCTAGTAGATAAGCTTAGCATACCTACTTGTACTGTTTGGTAACATATCTTTATCACAGAGTTAGTATAGGACGTGAAGGAAGATTTAGTAACATATCTTTACCCCAAACTTAATACATTATATGAAAAAAGGTTTTATTACAAAGTCTATCACTGACTTGCTACAGGACGTGAAGGAAATGTTAGTAACATATCTTTACCCCAGACTTATATATTTTCTTTCACAATAACTAGTTCAGCTGATTATTGTACTTAGGCTTGGAGATGCCTTTACACAGAATTCAACAGCCTGCTACATATTATTTTCTAGAGACTTATCAAGAGCATACGAGGACAAGTCCATCCAGAGAGTCACCAAGGTCATGTAAAAACAGTAGCATGCGGTGGTTAATGAACCCTGTGGGTCATCATAAGCATGTGAAACAATTTCAGACAGTAGCTAATATATCCAGAGGCTTCTCAGGAGCATCTTGAGACACTTTCAGGTCATAGTCAGAGAATTCAGAAACTCACCAGGAACACACTGAGCAATATCAGGCAGTGGTCAATAAATCTGGAGACTCATTAGGCATATACAGAGACAATGATGTCAGGCAGTGGTCAATGAATCCAGGAACTCATTAGGCATATACTGAAACAGTGATGTCAGGCAGTGGTCCGTGAATCCAGGAACTCATTAAGCATATACTGAGACAATGATGTCAGGCAGTGGTCAGTGAATCCAGGAACTCATTAGGCATATACTGAGACAACGATGTCAGGCAGGGGTCAATGAATCCAGGAACTCATTAGGCATATACTGAGACAATGATGTCAGGCAGTGGTCAATGAATCCAGGAACTCATTAGGCATATACTGAGACAATGATTATCAGGCAGTGGTCAATGAATCCAGGAACTCATTAGGCATATACTGAAACAATGATGTCAGGCAGTGATCAATGAATCCAGGAACGCATTAGGCATGAAGTCTGTGCTTGTGTTTGCGAATATGTAAATAAAGTACGCAACTATCTGTTGATTAATAGCCATCTGTTCGTTCATTTAGAAAAATAGTCCCTCGCAAATTTTGAGTATTTTTTTAAAAGTTCGGCTAAATAAACAACAAGAAGGAAGTAGATAACACTCATTTCGGTTTATGATTGATTATAGATACCACCGGATATGGGTTATATACTTCAGACTACCATGTGGCGCTCTCTGGTGATCTAGTGGTAACCTATAAACTACCATCTAATGTCAACGACGGTGTCTTTGTTCAGCTTATGGAAGAGGTAAAGAACGTACCAACAGAAGTGGCTACACAACCAGTTCCTCCACAGTCTTCTTTTGGAAAAGTAAACTTCTTCTGCGGACTCGTGGACCATCCTGGAGACTTTTTCTTCCGTCTCGTCACAAAAGATAAGGTTTGTCACAGTGTTATTCTAAACTTTCAGCCTCCCTCGGTAAGGTTTGTCACAATGTTATGCTAAAATATCAGCTTCCCTCGGTAAGGTTTGTCACAATGTTATTCTAAAATTTCAGCCTCCCTCGGTAAAGTTTGTCACAATGTTATGCTAAAACCTCAGCCTCTCTCGGTAAGGTTTGTCACAGTGTTATGCTAAAACCTCAGCCTCCCTCGGTAAGGTTGTCACAAAGTTATTCTAAAATTTTAGCCTCCCTCGGTAAGGTTTGTCACAATGTTATTATAAAACCTCAGCCTCCCTCGGTAAGGTTGTCACAAAGTTATTCTAAAATTTCAGCCTCCCTCGGTAAGGTTTGTCACAATGTTATTATAAAACCTCAGCCTCCCTCGGTAAGGTTTGTCACAATGTTATGCTAAAACCTCAGCCTCCCTCGGTAAGGTTTGTCACAATGTTATTATAAAAACTCAGCCTCCCTCGGTAAGGTTTGTCACAATGTTATTATAAAACCCCAGCCTCCCTCGGTAAGGTTTGTCACAATGTTATTATAAAACCCCAGCCTCCC